AGGAAAGCAACCGAGAGTACACAGAGTCTAGATATCCTCTCATATGAGAACTGGCTAAAAATCTTTCTCATTCTGAGTTGAAATCCTATAAATCAGAGTTGCCAAATAATGGGATAGGTTTCTTTGGAAGGTTAGATCCTTATCACTGGAGGTAGTCAATAAAGGGTGATACAGTAAGAACTCAAGAATTAGATGAGAGTGCAGGCTATTCCTTTAGGTTCCTTCTAACTTTGAGATTGTTCTTTCAAATATATGGACTTAACTCAATATATTTTTAAATTTAGAAATGCATGGAATTATCAGAGCCAAACAGCAAGCAATGAAACATCATAAAAATACCACTGGGGTCTTGTGGACTCAAAAATAAGGCTGACCTGGGTCACACTCCCCACTGCACTATTTACTAGCTGTGTGACCATGGGCAGTGCATACACAACTATCAACTGGGCACACACGAGATGCCAGTCACTGTGCCAGGAAATGAGGATGTGATAGTTAACAAAATAACCCAGAGATGCTAGCCTCATGGAGTTCCTAGCCTACAGGAATGTAAACAATCTATGACATGCAATTAATTGTAAGGATGCACAGCACTGCCCAATAAAAGTGTCACAAAAACACAAAGCCTAGGGCCCCAATCTGGTTAAGGGAGTTCTAAGCCTGAGCTTCCTTATTTTACTAGGTAAATTATAACAAGGATTGAAAGAGACTTAATGTGCCTAACAATGCTTGGCTAATAGTAGATGCTCAATGAATTTAGGTACATTCAAGTTTGTTATGCTGTAACAAAAAAATTTTTCTTCTTTTTGCTGAAAAGTACATGGCCACTTACATTAAGCACACACTACTCTTTGCAAAGGGCTCTCTTTAGGGATTAGGCACACCCCTCAGCAGCAGATGACTTACAGCTGGGGGAAACTATCGACTTAGAAGCAATGTGAAAGCAATAGAGCAACATATTAAAACAGTAACCCAGGCTGAGATGGGGTCATCGATTCTCTCTGGTATGATGGAGAATATTCTGCTAGCCTGCCCATGTACATTTGCTTCAAATCAGCAGGATGTTCTCCTTCAACCACAGAGGGAATTAGCAAAGTGAACAGCAAAGTTCAATAATGGCAGAAAAGCAACAGAAACCAATGGATTCTAACTGCAACCACAAAACCAGCAATCACTGCCTGGGCTCTGGATTAACTAGGAGAGTAGCATGGCTCTCCCTCACCCAATGAAATCAGCAGCTCTCAAGCTGTGGTCCTAAGGAGGTGGTTCAAAATCCTTAGGCGACCTGCAAGATCAAAACTACTTTTGTAACAATACCAAGACATCATTTTCTTTCTTCCATTCTCATTCTTTCAATAGTATACAGCAGAGGTTTCCAGAGAGCTAGATAACATGTGACGGTTGCTCTCAGGGCTTCCGAACCAGTTCATTCTGGGTTGGTCCCCTGCTGAGAATGTGCCTTCCACACATGTATACTGAATCAAAATCTACATTTTAACAAGATCCCCAGGTGACTTTCTATGGACACATCTTGTTAAAATGTAGATTCAGACTCAGTGTAGCTGGGATGGAAATGCAAATTCTCAGCAGGGGACCAACCCAGAATGAACTGGTTCAAAGTTCTGGATGTTATCACTGCCCTGATGGCTAATGGAGTGTGTGCCTGTGTACTTGTGTGTTTCCTAGCATTTTCTACAATAAGCAGTTTGGGGTACTCAAGAGACCAAAAAGCTTGAAAACCGCTAAACTCAATGTAACAGATTGAACCGTGTCTTCAGAAAACAAGTGTCAACCTGGCTACTAGGCCATGAGTCTCAGTAGTAAGTATTATCCTCTATTTTGTGATCTGATGTAATTATCCTATGTGTTGTGAATTCTAACCTCTATGATTTAATGGGGAGCTCTGGTAGCATAGTGCCTAAGGCACTTGACTGCTAACCAGAAGATTGTTGGTTCAAACCCACCAGCCACTCCTTGGAAGGAAGGTTGGGCAATCTACTTCCGTAGTGATACTGCCTCAGAAACCCAAGGAGGTGTTGCTATGAGTTGTGTCTGACTCAATAGCACATAACAACAACAACAACATGATTTAATGAGGCCAGGATACAATCTACAGGATAAGGCTGGACTTTGAGTCAATCTCTTTTGAGATATAAAAGAGATTAAGCAAGAGAGTGGATAAAAAGGGATCTCAGTGCTACCAAAAAGGAAGAGCTGGGAGCACAGCATATCCTTTGGAATCAAGGTCCCTGCATTGAGATCCTCTTAGATCCAGGGGAAGACTGATGGCAAGACACATGGAGATCTCCAAGGAATGCCGGACCCGCAGATGCTGAAAGGAGACAAGGACCTTCCTCTAAGAGTTGACAAAGAAAGAAAGCCTTTTCCCCTCCAGCCGGCACCCTTAATCCAGACTACTAGCCTCCTAAACTGTGAGAGAATAAATTTCTGTTTGTTAAGGCCAGCCACCTGTGGTATTTCTGTTACAGCAGCCTTGGATAACAAGACACTAAATAATTCTGTCCCTGTAGAACAGAAGGACTACTAAAAGATTTACCAGAGAAACAGCACGTTCCACTCAACGGGAGGTTTGGGGGAAGATCACACAATGCAAAGTGGAGGCTGTATAAGGAGAACTGTCAATTGAATCCGAAATGCAGCCAAATGAAGAGGGGCATTTTGGGAATGCAATCAAAATGACAACTGCGTATACGGAAACAAATTTGAATGTTTCTGATCTCAACCAGTAAGTTTCATTCAAATATGCTTTAGCAATTTTCATCTTAATTGCACTTCACTGGTCTAGAGAATTATGAAAGGCACCATACCAGTAACTCAAGAGCTCAAGGTTAAAACACAACATAGTCTCCTAAATGCCTTGTGAGAAAAGAAAAAAAGGGATTCTTTATGCATAATTTCAATTTTCAAATGTTCAGATGTTTAAACACTAAAATAGTACATAAATTTTGTCTGAATGGAAAACATTGTTGATTAAAAAAAAAAATTAAAGTATCAATTTTCTTAAAACCAGTTGGTGAATTAGAACACTAGAACACCAGTGTTTTGCAGGATGTAGATATAGTGACCATAACTTGGAGAAATTCATTACTCTCAATTGACACAAGCACACCTACCAAGTGGACAAAAGGCAATTCTGCAAATTGGACTTCTAAGATTTCCAGCGTTATCAACCTTCAGCATAACTTCTTCATACAAAACACATCCTTCTAAGGGTGGGGATGTATTAAAGATGATATTGACTATGTAAGATTTTTCATGTTTACTGAGTGTCTACAGTAAGGCAGGTAGAGAGACAAATAAGACAAAGTCCACATCCTAAAAGCAACCGAGTCTAACGCAATAAAGAAATAACAATAAAACAAACAGCAAAAGCATTAAAGACCAATCAGATCCATTGTGTGTAAAAATGTTGCTGCTGGTGAAGTGATGAAAGGATACAGTGAGAAATTTGGCGGCAGCTATTAAAGTTTAAAATGTACATACCCTCCAATCCAAAATTCAACCCTTAGGTATCTATCCTATAGAAATACATGTACATGAAAATACATATACAAGAAGGTTCATTGCAGCACTGTGTATAAAAATCAACATTTAAAACAATGAACTGTCCATCAATAGAAAAATAAACAAACCATGGCATACCCAAACTATGAAATAGTATGCACCCTTCAAAAAGAACAAGGTAGACATGCATGCACTAACATGCAGAGCTTTCCTATAACCATACAGTACGTGGTCAAAGGAATCAAGATGCAGAATATGCACAGCATGATATATATATATGTATGTGTATGTATATACCAGCATATTCACATATATGTAAATAAGTATATTGAAAACGATATGTAAATACGTAGGGAGAAAACCATCTAGAAGGATCCTCATGGAATACGGGTTACCTCTAGGGAAAGGAATGGAAAAGGGGTCAGCGCCATGAAGGAGAACTTGCTTTTCAATCTAATTGTGTACTGCTGGTCTTTTTTACCATGACACTCTATTTATGTATTATTTGTGTGATTAAACACAGACACACAGAGTGCAGTGTGACAAGAGCGACTGTACAGTGAAGGTCAGCACATAATCTGATAGGACACTGGTGTTGAGCAAGCTGAACTATGATCTAGCTACAGCTATTGTGAAAGGGGCTGTGACCCCAGGACCAGTACCCATATTATCCTGGTTCCTCATCCACAGTATAGGGAGAACACAGTGGACTGCACTGGTCTCACCAAGTTCTGTGAAGACTGGATCCTCTGTGTCCTATGAGACCACTGTGTCTCTATTCACGCTATTTACACTGCCTGGCATGTCTGTGTCCTTTTCTGCCTATAAAATCAAAATCACTCTTTAAAACCCAGCTCAAATACCACCTCTTCTGTGAAGCCCTCAACAGCCTCCACCCTGGTATCACTGTTTCTTCCTCTATGCTCCCACAGCATTCTACTTTCTCTCTTTTAAGATGTACATTTCCTTCTACCTTGCATTTCCAGTGGGTCTCTCCAGTAACCTACAAACTTGAAGTGAACAGTGTATGAGACTCATTTCTTAATTGCCTAGGGGCTGAGGGCATATTAAGATTCATTAAAACTGTATGTCTTAGAAGGGAGAAAGACAGGAAGGGAAAGAGGGATTTAGAACATTAAAATCTGTACAAATATGAAGATCTCTTTAGTTAGGATTCAAGACTGACTAAAAGATACCAGATTCCTCATTACAGCAATTCACAGTGCACTGAGGTGTTAGCGTGGTAACAGTTATGTTAACTACCATTTCATGAAGACCTACTATGTGCCAAGGACTGAGCAAACTTGCCATATTCTTATTTGATCTTCACAACCACCCTGTGAGGAAGGTATTTTCCCTTACACAGGTAAGAAACATGAGAGTAAATCACAAAAGCCAAAGTAAACCAACACACAAAAACCAAAACCACCTCAGAGGAGAAAGGATATATATGCATCAGCAAAACAATGTCTTACTTCTCTGGATTGTCTGGAAACTTAATCCGCAACTCTTGGTTTTTGTAGGACCTCTTTTCAAATGTGAGGATCATTTTCTTCACCGAGCTTTCGTCCAATGGTTCCTCCTGGTACAAAGGGACAAAGGCAACAACTTCAGTCCACAGGGATTTCTCGTTCGCTGTCACCACTTCTTTCCTATGTTCTCCTCAGTATCCTATGTTCTGCCACGCTCTGCCATTGACCAACATCTCTGGCTTAAATATACAGACCACACTTTGTCTCTCCCTGCTCCCACCAGAATGAGGGCTAACGATCTACAACACATGTTATTTTGGATTTCTCTGGGTGTCTCACATAATGCCCACTATCTCTAGCATAGGAAATTCAGCTTAATGAGTTAAAGACTCATTCATTCAACAATTTTTTTTTTAATTTTATTGTGATTTGGGTGAAAGTTTACAGAGCAAATTCATCTTTCATATAGCAGTTCACATATATTTTCTCTCACAACATTGACTATAATCTCCCACAATGCAATAGCTTTCCTCCCACTTCCTCCCCATAGCCACCTCTTCCCTGTGTCCTTCCCTCTCATGCACTCCTGCTCCCCGAGCTGTCTCCCTGTGCATACACAGCCCTTCTATTCTCCCATGATTGATCTCTCCAAGGAGTGGATCTTCCTGATGTAAATGTTCAGCCCATATGCCTGTCTATTGTTTGGCTGGAAGCCATAGGAGTGAATTAAATTCTGGGGGCAGCGAGGGGCCATAGTCTCAGAGGTTCCACCTGGCTCTATCAGACCAGCAAACCTAGTCCCTTTTTATTTTTTTTCTTATGATTTTGAGTTTTGTTCCACATTGTTCTCCCACTCTATCCAGGATCTCCTACACAGATCCCCCTCTGAGTGGTTGAAAGTGGTAGCCAATCATTATCTACTTCTGGTCTCATAGTTTTATAGAATGAGGATCACATGGTGTACCGGTTCCTTGGACTAATTGTTTCCATACGTCTTTGGTTTTCTTCATTCTTCTTTGCTCTGGACAAGGAGAGACCCATCGTTGCATCTAGATGGCCACTTGCAAGCTTCTAAGATCCCAGTCGCTACTCAGCAAAGTAGGATGTGGAACAATGTTTTCAACAAATATATCTTGAGTACACAGTATGTAACAATATTAGATATTATCTTATATTTATATTGTCCTTCTCCTTTGTTGTACACGTTAAGATAAGACTCAGATTAAGAAGACTTTGTTCAAGGTCAAACCCTGAGTCCATGATCAAACTAACTGAACTCACTGATGTCGAGTCAGATCCGACTCACAGCGACCCCTCCGTGGGTTTCCGAGGCGGTATCACTATGGAAGTAGATTGCCCAACCTTCCTTCCAGGGAGTGACTGGTGGGTTTGAACCACCAATTTTCTGGTTAGCAGTCAAATGCCTTAGGCACTATGCCACCAGAATACCAGAGTCCATGTTGTTGTAGTTGTTTTGTGCCATCGAGTTGGACCTGGGAATCCATGACAGTGCCTCTGAATCCTTCCCTATACCAGAGGTTGGCCCACAGGCCAAATCTGACCAGTTGCACATTCCTTTACAACCCATGAACTAAAGAATGGTTGTTAGTTACAGTCACTACTTTGTATTTCTTAACACATTACTGTGTCTAGTCCTCATTCACTGCTAAGAGAATCAGACAAGTATATGGAATCCTGACATATCAAGAATTCAGTACTCCTGCTCAGAGTAAGCATAAAAAACCAAGACTATGAGGTTTTCTTACTTCATAGAATGGAATAATATCTATAAAGGTAAATAAAGTGAAATTTTGAAAATGTAATAATTTTCCCCAAAAAAATCTATACATTTCAGAAATGCTTTATCTTCTGTTTACTTTCCAGTTTAAATTAATGTGCTGTAATGCACTCTGCCTCTGTAACACTTTCCCAATTCCTGGCTTCACAGCTTTGTAGTGTCATTGACCATAACTCACACCTAAACACAATAAAGAAACTGCTATTTCAAGAACCCAAAATAGAGCCTTCTGGAAAACAATGAATAATCCCACTATTTTGTAAATATTATTTTATTACTAAATTGTGATTTTCATATATTCAGTTTTAAGTGGAAGATACCTATAAACTCATTTAGGGCATGACATTTTTTAGATTACATCAATGACTCCTGGGCCTTGAGGTACCTGTCAGACTTGTAGCCCCTCCACAGGATCTAAAGAGAGGGTCCATGGCACGGTAAAAACTGAAGTCAGCATACTGGCTCAGTCAGGACTCAGAACCCACTTTCATGACAGTGTTAGTTCCCTGAATATATTCCTCAAACCCTCCAAGTCCAATTGATTCTACCTCCAAAGTCTTTCCTGAATTCATCCACTTGGCACTTAGAATAAAATCGCAAATCCTTCACATGGCCTGTAAGGAAGATTTTTGCAGATCTTGCCCAGATAATCTTTCCAACCCCAAACTGAGACATATATAGCCCTGTTGCTGGCCCATGACTACTTGTTCACAGCTGACTCTCCAATGCCCATCACAGTGCCTGGCACATAGCAGGCACCCAGTGACAACCTGTAGGGAGATAGGTAAGTGGATAGATAGGGAGGGAGGGAGGGAAGGAGGAAGGAAGGAAGAGGTTAGCATTCAAGGTCACAGAGATGACCTAAAGAAATGATATAACTAAGTTGTTTTGTAAATGATATGGTAACTATATAATATTAACGTAAGCTGTTATTATTATTACTAGCAACAGGCACAATGTACCCCACACACCACTAGGCTTTAATCAAAATACTCAAAATCTCTAGAAAGAAGTTAAACTTTCTTAGTTTCAAACAATCTCAGTCTCCACTGTTTTTATTTTCTTTAGCCAACATCTTGCCTACCTTACAGAAAAATCATTTCGTGTTACTACAGCTCTCGTGGAGTTCCAAAGTCCTCACCTCTCCAGGGTCTGGCCCTCCCTCCTTTAATTTCTTTCCAACACGGGGGGGAAACTGAATTATCAGTCTTAGTCACTGGCCACAGCAGTATCTCCAATAGCTCAACGTCAGAAACCAGAGGGACATTTCAGAAAGATGAAAGTTGGAGATGTAGCACAGAAAAGGACAATAATATTTTACAAGTTCACATGACTTTACAGGGGCAACCATCAATTGTTTTTCATCAAATGGGACTTTGGTAGCAGTGAGAAAATAACTCCTGGACTTGTAGCCTTCCCTGTGTCATTTTTACAAAGTGATCTCTTTTTCCCTATCCCTCTGCAGAAGAGCTGGTCCCACATGACACTTCTGTCTCCCAGGCTAGAAACCACTTACCCATGACAGCTACTATCCTAATCCTCCAGTACCAGCCTTGCCCTACACAGGAATTATACCTGCCAATTAACCGCTGCTGCAGGGCTAACAGATTGAGCAGAAGCTGGTGAGGGGGGAGGGAGGGAGGGTGTGCTGCATACACAGTTTGTCTAAGCCCTGGCAGGGCTGCTGCCCTTAGAAAGGAAATTCAGAAATTCAGGACTGTCTCCCACCACCGATTTTCAAAGTGTCATCATCTTTTAAGGGCAGACCTACAAATTAGCACCAGCACACAGCCTAATGAGGAGAGAACTACTGTCATAACACTGTAAAGACCTTTTTAGAATATGAATCTTTTCTTTTTTCTTCTCAGATTCACATTCCAGCTTTTAAATCCAAACTTAGCATCATGCCTTTAAGGGAGCCAAAAAACATCTGGCTCTTAAGAATCTATTTCCATAATTCATATTGAACAAAATGCCAGAGTCAAATAACATACAAGTTAACACTTAAGGATTTAAAAAGACACAAAGGTAAGGTCATTTTATTTTTAATCACTGATATTTTACCTCTAATCTTTTCAGTTTCATCCATTTATTCATTTGATAAATATTTATTAAGAGTATTCCAAGAGCTAGGCCCTGGGCTGAGTGCTAGAGACACAGCCGTAAACAAGACAGAGCCAGTCCCTGTTTCCATGGAATTTACATTATACTGAGGGTAGGAGGGTACAAATAAGTAAAATAAACAAAGAAGAATTTCAGATCATAAATGCTATGAAGACAGTATACAGAATAATGTGACAGGAGAATAAGAATGGCATGAGGAGCTACCTCACAGACAGGGAAAACCTTTCTGAGGAGGAAACATCTAAGCTGAGACCTTAATGAGAAGACACCAGCCATGCGCCAAAAAAATAAAATACCTGGGAGTAAATCTCATCAGGGACACAAAAGACCTGTACAAACAAAACCACAAAAGACTACTTCAAAAAACCTTAAAAAAAAATCTACATATACAGAAGAACATACCATGCTCGCGGATAGGAAGTTTGAACACTGAAATTGTCAATACTACCCAAAGCAATCTATATGTTCAATGCAATTCCAATCCAGATCTCATCAACATTCTTTAAGGATATGGAAAAATCAATCACTAATTTTATATGGAAAGGAAAGGAAGCTCAGATAAGCAAAGCAGTACTGAAGAAGAAGAATAAAGTAGAAGGTCTCACACTGCTGGATCTCAAACCTACTATAAGCCATAGTAGTCAAAACAGCCTGGTATTGGTACAACAAAAGACACATAGACCACTGGAACAGAATTGAGAACCCAGAAATAAAGCCACTGACCTATGGTCAGCTGATCTTTAACAAAGGGACATAATCTATTAAATGGGGAAGAGATTCTCTCTTTCACAAATGGTGCTGGTGAAACTGGTTATACGTTTGCAGAAAAATGAAACAAGATCCATACTTAACATCATACACAAAAACTAACTCCAGATGGATCAAAGATTAAATGTGAAACCTAAAACTATCAAGTTCCTCAAGGAAAAAATAGGGGCAAATTTAGGGACCCTAGTTTATGGCATAAATAGACTATCAAGCACAACCCAAAATTCATAGACAGCAGAAGATAAACTAGATGACTGGGACCTTCTAAAAATTAAATTTTTATGTGCTTCAAAAGACTTCTCCAAAACAGTAAAAAGATAACCTACAGATTGGGAAAAAAATATTTGGCAATGACATACCTGACAAAGGACTTATCTCTAAAATTTACAGAAAACTCCAACACCTCAACAACAAAAAGAT